AGACCAGATCTCTGAGGAGCTCGGTGGAGCCCTCCTCGGCAACAGGCCACGCCCCCAGGAAGTCCGGGATAGCCAGATCTTAAGGGCTGTGCGGAAGGTCTGGACGGAGGTGAGGGTGCGAATCTCCACGGGGAGATCGTTCCAAAGGGTCAGAGCTACTACTGAGAAGGCTCTCCTCCGCGTAGTCGCCAGTCGGCACTGACTGGCGGATGGAACTCGGAGGAGGCCTAATCTGTGCGATCTAATAGGTCGAAGGGAGGTAATTGGCAGGAGGCGGTCTCTCAAGTAGTTTCTGAAGCCAGGCATCCTGGTTGGGCTTGGCAACGGGCCCACCTAGCCATGAATTCTACTGCTGTTTAGGCATGGTTGCAAGTCCAGGAAGTTCCCTTAAGTCACAAAGTACCTTCTCCTTCACGGGGAGCCCAGGTCCATTCAGTGTAACTGCTGGGCCAGTGTTATCAGAGTACACAGATTTCTCCTGACCTCTAGCAATTCTGTCTTGGCAGGATTTAATCTGAGCCTGCTTTTGTCTGATCCAGATTCTCACAGCGTCCAAAGACCAGTCTGAGACTTCCACAGCATCACCAACTCTTTAAATAAATACACTTTTGAACTTTACTTCCTTAGTCCTACACAGCCACAAATCCTGAAACAGATTTTGGTGCAGCAAAAAAAAAAACACAAAAAAAAACCCAAACCCCCACATTCTTAGTTTAGTAGAACTGCAGGCAGCAGCTCACTCAAATACCACAGCCACACAAAAATTAGAAACTTGCCTAAGAAAGGCATCAAAGAATGCAGACGGTGCCCCCTGAGCTATCAAAACACAGCCCTTCCTCTGTGGTATTTCTAGCAACCAGCAAAGAACCCTTTCAATATTCTACATTGAAGGCATCCTTTTTCTCCCAGTCAGCAGACTGAACAATCTGTGAGAACTGCAGAATTTATTTTCCCAGTGCCACTCTTAGTTTCAATATGACAATAATGCAACATAAACAAGCTGAATGTTATCACCATGCTGAACAAGCAGAGGAAACCTCAGTGCCCTTTTCATTAATTGAGGGCTATTTCTCTATTGCAGAGTTATAGTTTTCACACACCCTCATTCCCCCCACCATCAAAACCAAATAACTCACTAGGGAATATGAAGCTATCACAACCTCACAGTCCCAGTCTTTGCTGGGTGACATCTCTAAGGCAAACAGAGCCAGTCCTTTGCCCTCTGTCCAAACTGGTCAAGAGGTAGCCTACCTGTTGCACAGCAACCAGGCAATGTGATTACTGGGCCTGTA